ATGTAGAGTTCCAAAATTATTTGTGTTTTTTTAATGGATTTCAAATACATAGATATAGTGGAACATAGTTAGATTTGTCATTACCCATATAATCTCCCCTTTTCTTCTTTTCTTATGCATCATAAAAGAATTGGCTGATAGTGTGGCAACACTAAAATTTAAAAGACTGCATTGCTACTGGTAATCACTGCATATACTGTAGTGTAGCTTTTTCTTAAGTAATATCATCAGTCTATGCAAAATCAGAGTTTCACTTTATGTTGGGCAATTAACAATTTAATAAAGAGATACCTTCTGAGTGCAATTTAAAAACAGAAATATATGTTGGCTACTAAAATATACTTTCTTAAAAGTCTCATTTTATTATCCATTAATTCCATCCTCCCCTGCCAAAAATTTTGTTTCAAATAGGTCATTAAATTCCTGTTTAGTATTTTTTCCCATTTGACATAATTTTTTTATGTGGCCACATCTAGATTACTAAATCAAACTCAACTCAACTGTTCTCTCTCTGAATGTGATTTTTTCTCTCATAGAGAGAGCCACATCCTGTAGACTTCCTCAAGGTCAAAATGGGTTGGATGTATCTCAGCTAGCTATTGGGAGTGGTCCCTGGCCCCTGCCAATTCCTGAATTGAGCCAATGAATTTTTTAGGCACTGCTGTTTGGCACAAATCAAAGTTGTCAGAGGCCATCCAAAAGCATGTTGCAGGATATGTAAATCTGAATTCCAGAGCCCAGTAATGTTCCCAGGCCCCATTTAATTGCCAGGGTGCATGAAATCTTTGTGCCACAGTGTGTTCCTTAGGAAAGAATGCCTAGATGGGGCACCAGTATTTTATTTCAAGAAATACATTCCAGAAAATGAGCATTTGCATTGTTCAGTACAGTTACATAATCTTGGCCTCTTGATGAGGACCTCTTGATCCTCAGCTATACTTTCTTAGTGAAAAAACAGTTTGCTCCTTTCATGCACACATAATAAGCAGAGAAACCTTTCCCCAGAACAGTCACAGCCTAATGACTGAAAGCTGGGGAGAGACTCACCTTTAACTTGTAGCAAATGAAGCGTCAAAACAGGAAACCTGGGCAAAACGGTTGGACTCCATTATGTTTTCAGTCCTCTAAAAGCAAATTTGGCAGTCTTGCCTCATTCTGCTGATCCATGCCTTGTTCCAATGTTCATTAAACATTTGATTTTTTTCAATTTACTTTTCATAAAAAATGACTCTGCAAAGACAATTACTTTATTTGAATTATTTTTACTACCACTAGAGAAGGATGTAATATCTGAGCAGAATGAGATTTAGCTGAAGACATTTTGCTGTAGAAATAAAGAAAATGTAACAAAGTATTGGTGCTGTTGGACCGTAGGATTCCTGCTGTTCAAGGAACTGGTATATGGATATGAGGAAATGAACAGTCATAGGAATGGTATTTCCACATATTGCACTCTGTGATGGCATTATTTCTCTCCATATCCAATTGGAATATTCACCAGTCTGGAATGTCTGAATAATAATAATAATAATAATAATAATAATAATAATAATAATAACTGCAACAACAACAACAACAACAACAAGTATCTAATATTTTTATCCTGAAAGATATATTTAGACACTTCATTAAGGTTGCTGCAGACAAGTTGAACTCAGAAGATCAGGAATGAAGGAAAACTCATATAATTTGATATTATCATAAATGAGTTTATACACAATATTTAAATACGACATTTTTGACACACACAGAAAGACATTTCCTAGATTGAGAAAAGTAAGGTAATTAAATTTTGTCTTGTATTCCTTATCATGCAATAAAAAAATCTAAAATATTAATAAACCAAGTCAGGATTAATTTATTCAAGACATCTCAATCAAGTTGATAAACACTGATGACAGAACTTTCCCAGAGCTTGAGGACTGTAGCTGATTTTCAATGAAGTATTCATGTTACTTAGTTAGAGTCCTAAACCTATTCAGCCTTGCAGCCTATTTCTTTCCTTTCAGGCTGTGGAGGAAAGTACTCATGTTTTAATGTGACACTTTTTCTCCTGGTGAGATCATTCCCATGAGCCTAAATCCAAAATATTTCACTCTTTCTGTTTTCATCAGATGTAATATATTTTCAACTTTTTACAATATCATAATATGAAGGAGATACCTAAAGCACAGCTGCATGGACAGATGACACATGGAAATGTTGCAGATCAACTCTAGGGACAGGCTGGCATAGAAATGCATGGACATTTTTGTGCTTGCAATTACATCTTTTGGAGAAATCAAAGCTTACTTTATTTTTTTTAAAGAAGCTTAAATGAACCTTAGTGGCTTATCTCCTAGCAGTAAAATGGAGGCTATGTTGGAAATGAGAAGCAAATAACGATGCAGTGCTTTTTGTGGCTGCATTTTAAAAGCTGTGAGATAAGTGCATGTCCAGCAATAATAGTGGTAATCTGGATAACAACTTCTTGTAATTCACGGACTAATTTGATTGTCCACTGAGAGCATTAAATACATCCTGCCTTCCTCTCATTTACATCATGGATATGTGTCCAACTGGCCACTGCCAGAGTCAAGATAGTAGACATCATTAATACGAGTGGTCTGATCTGTTGAAGCCAATTCCTCAGTTCTATTTATCAGTCTGTACCACAGAAAACCACTTCTGCTTTATAACTTAAAGAAGAGAGAAGAAGGAAAAGAAAAGAAATTTGACTTAGGTTATCCCCTTTAACATATTTCATCAAAAGAATGGATAAAATATTTATTCATTTACTGTCCTTTACATTCCCATCAAAGTGAATAGAGAGACATTTAATAAGACATGGAAACATTAAAGAAGCCTTTTATCAGACTGGATGGGAACCTGCTCAGAACAAACATTTTGGCCTAAGGGAAAGTTTTTGATCTGTGAAGCTTAAACTTAAAACACTCTCATATTGGATCATGTGGTCAATTTGCATGAAATAAATGATTTGCTTAAAACTTGTAAAGCTATAAAACAGAACTTGACAAGTCATTAGCAATAAGTGGTATCATACTGGCATTATGCGCACACTGGTGCTATCATTAGAAAACTGCTGCCACAGCAAAGCACAGGGAGATAATGGGGCCAGCCTACAACTTGACCTAGAGGAGTTAGATCATTGCCCCACACTGTAGATACCACTCTGCAGTCCAAATTATCGACTCTCCTTCATCATTACTCATCTACTCAACGTTCTGAGCCACTGCCCTTTGTCCCTTTTCACACAAAATATTCACCCAAGTAATAAAAATTATCACTTTCTCTAACTGGGGAATAGGTGGTCTAGTTCTGGAAAGGGAAAAAAAAAAGGAAAAAAATGGAGAAAAAAAGCCTAATGTTTATTCTAGGATTTTGAAGAAATGTAGAAGGAAAAAAATAGATTACCCATTCTTCATTAATTGCTATGTTGCTTTTTTCTGAACTGGAAATTCAATTGCTTCAGATTCTGTGTGTTGACATGGTTATGAATGTAACTTTTCTATTCTGATTGTCAACAAAGGTAATCAGCAGCTCCTCAGCTCAGTTTGCAACTTCAAGTTTATTTTTTTTCGGACATAAAGCATTTGGAAAATCATGGCTAAATATCTGGATTCCTGAAGTTTTCCTAACATTCAAGGCTATAGTTATTCTGTGATATTATCAGTAAATATGCACTTGGGTTTATAGCCAAGACAGGAAATACATGGAAAATGTAGGATTATTACCATTTGTTGCAAAACAGCTTCAATACATTGGTTTTATCAATGTGTTAATATTTTGGCAGTGGCTCAGGGACATGTCAAGTTTGAGCAGCTGTATGTTTGATATTTTATACAAATTACTGGATGGACTGAATCACATGCTCCAAATTATGTGTCTGCAATTCTACATGTGTTGATGAGATGCAATAACATTAAGTCCATGATGCTCAAATCCCACTGCTGTCTTCAAGATGATATTTTTCTCATGCATTCCCCATGAGTATACACACCTTTTCAAAGTGAGAGGGGTAAGTAAGATGCTGTTGTTTCCAAGCCCCATTAAAGCCTTGATTCCTTTTCTGAGTCTACCATCAAGCATGAGGCATGGCTTTGAGTTTCTGATGTGAAGCTGGAGCTGAGTTTTAACAGTCTGTTTGCATGTGGACTCTGGTGCAGTGAATGTATGCTGGTGCATATGACTGAATCAATATAATATTTAACTATTTAATTTTATTTCTCAGCTCACAAAAAACCAGCACTCTCCAAATGACAGTGACACGATAGCTACTGAGGCTAAATGCCAGTGAAATAAAAGGAAATAAGGAGACTTCAAATAAGTCATAAACTAGAAAATAAGCATAAGTAATATAAGGGTACATTAAATATGTTTGTGAATCTGTGGAGAAGTGAAGTGAGAAGTGTTTTGTACAAAATATGGTATCTGCACATAGGCTAAGACAGTACAGAAAATCCCAGCTGAACACTCTGAGAGAGTAGAGGTGTTTCAGTCAGCAGCTGGAATCAGAACCTCATCAGTGTTTATAATGCATGACCTGGTTGGTATTGGCTAATTAAGAATGAGCCTTAGAGACGAGAAACATCATAATTTTGACTAGTGTTTCCAGGAGTTCATTAAGTGGACTTTAGGGAGCAACTGAAGATCATTTGTTTGACAGAAGAAAATAAGGCTTTGTGGTAGAACAGGCATCATGAGTATGCAACCTTATTATTATAGTATTATTATCTTTTGAGTCAAAGGAAGAAAACCAGAACTGTAGCATTTCAGCATATGTTTGAGTCACGTGGACTTCATTGGTCTCAAATGTGACTCTTAAAAATAAATTACTCTATTTGTTAAGAAATACATTTCCTTCTTATAGTGTCTGAAAAATACTAGCTTATATGCACAATGTAATATTTTTAACATGAACCATTTTGAGGGGAGCTCATCCTCCCAGTGAAACTGCTCAGCCTGTTGGTGAATACATCTTCTATACTTCATAACCTTAGGTGCAGCACATAAGGAATTTGCACCACCTCGTCTTCTTCTAGAACACAGTCCAAGAAAGAAACCAGCAGCTATTGAAGGCAAGTTTGAGTTTTCCCACCTTTATTGGCTTCTACTTATTAACTTGACTGTTTGTTCTAATGGGGCTTTTTTATTTTAATTTTCTTTTGTAAATGTAGCTTATATTACAAAAGTGATCACCTTACTAGGCCTGGGACAAGAATGACACAGTGACATAGGCATGACAAAACTCAAATTTTCCTTACAGATGGCTTGGGGGATTTCCTGAGTGAAACAGATTATGGGATTGAGGCCTAATATGTAAAATGCTTTGAATGGCATTGAGCCATAACTTGCTATCTAACTATAAACATAATCAACATTATCCTCTTAATATATTTTGGATTATTCGTTCAGCTATTGTTATTCAGTAATTTTTCTGTGCCTTGTTTGTAATAATGAATGTAATATTTCTGGCTCTGCATTTATCAACCCTATTGTTATTGTTAAAACCACTGAAAGAGAAATACAAAGTCAGATCTTACGTTCAGAAGATTAAAACATAATCCCTGCAATTGAATTATATTGTTTATAGTCTGATCAGTAAAGTGATTGAAATACTCATTTTAATTTTGAAATTAACTATGTCTGATGACTTAGAACTACAACTGCAGTATATGTACTTGGTCTTTATACCATACAATTTAATAGTACAAAACAGCTGAGTTTGTTAGTGTAATTATGTAGCAGTTTTCATCTGATCCTTGAGTGCTTCAGTCAAGCCATGGAACTTGCTAATTTCTCTCATAGAGGTCTTAGCTCTATGTTACCCAGAAAGCAATTGCAGTCTAAGAGAGGAACAGATGGGGTGGCAGCAGAGTAAGTAACAAGAGCTACAAGATTTCCTGCATTTGAAAACAGAAAATGAGACTTAGGTTTTGCCAGGACCCATAACTGAAACAAAGTGTTACATTAATCAGATATTTCTGTAACGTGATTATTGTGAATCAGAACATTTGGATAAAAATAGTTATGTGACTTATTATGTCTTTCCCCAAAAATATCATTATCTCAAATGATTATTTCTTTTTAAACATACTGTTTAAAGGAGTATAAAACTATGGTTATTTTGAGACAGTATAGAAATAGATTTGCACTCTTACTTACTTTAGGAAAATGTCTGAACCCTGCTTATCAGCAGAAAGAAGTCCCTGCAATGTTAAACTCTGTTATCTGTCAATTAACCATCATGGAAAAAGACATAATAGAGCAAGGCTGACACATTTGCTGAATGATAAACCTAATCTTTAAATATAACTGTTACACAAGATGAACTAACATCAAATTAACATTAGATTCTTGATTTTCAAAATCATGAGGAGAATGCAATTACTGCAATTGCACATAGAAATTACTATTTATGACCAGTTACACATTTTTGTTTTTCATTAGCTCATTTATGCATGCAATTCAGGTAATTGGAACTGTAAATTAGACACCCATTTGGCAAACAAATTTGGGGGAGATTATCTGCTCAGAACCATATAACTAAATTCCCTTTAAGGCTCAAGGCCAGTCACTAGGATACATACTTTTCATGCATGAGATTTAGAAGACATGAAGAAGGCAAAATTACTTGTAAAATGTTATCATGAAAAGCTGTTATGCTGTTTTCCATATATGAGAAAATATGCCACAGTGCCTTGAGGAGCCCTAAACCCTGAAGCTTTATTTCAGCCCTAGAGGGAAAAAAAAGTAATTTATGAGAATATTTGGCAAAATGTCAGAAGGGAAAAAAGAAGAGTAGGCAGGGAAATTTAAATCTTTAAAATAGCTGAAGAGACATGTGCATGTGACTTCTTAGTGCTTATATACTTTTATGACTGGTACATCACTAAATATCATTTATCAGTAGAAGGGACAGATTGAAACAAAAGAGTCTTCTTATAAATATAGTTGGAAGTAGTATCATAAGTTGTTAGAATAGAGAACAGACAGAAGTGTTTTTTAATTGAAAAATATACTTTATATAACATCAAAGCCTGGTTTAGCCTTTGACAGAAGAAACCAGCTCTGAAAAAAGGTAAAACTGTAGGAAGTAAGAGAAAGTTTGTCACACAAAAAATTTATGAAACCAATGAACTTACACCCTAGGCTTTCCAACTCAGTGATATTCAGACATTGTATATGTAATTATGGAGCTGGTGAAGGCTGAAAGAATCTTACTCTTTTTCTAGAGTGACATGTTTTTAGTATCATTCCATTTCGCCACTGCTGCCTTAGGTAATCTTGGACCATTCTTGTTTTCTGATAAAGTAGAAATAGTGATGTGTATGTGCCACATATGTCTAAATTTTTTAGATTATTTGATACCTTCAAATGGAATGCTTTTCCTGGATAGTATCCAATGTCCTGTAGAAATTATGTTCTGCTGAATTCTTGAAGCCTTAGAAAAAGAGCATATCATTATTATATATTAAATCTCACACTTCCTCCCATTGTCATTGCCTTTTTCTCTTCCTTCAGCTCCACAGTAAATCTTTTGGAAAGGGGGTAATTATTTAAGACTATCTCAATTTGTACACTAGATTCTAGTGTACAAAGCTATAAATGGCATTGAAGTGTGTGAGTTGAAATTTTCAGATATCTCCTGGTCAAAAAGCAAAATGCTTTGTATTAATCTGGTCAGAAAGAAAAAAATAATTTCTTATTTCATGGTTGATTGGCTTTTTCAAAGATCTTACCATAAAACTTCAATGAAAATTTTGAATTTTCACATCACGAGCAGCAGAGAATAATAAAACAAATGATAGGATCCTGTAACAGTCAACAAGAGAAAGAAGATAAAGGAATTTGTGAAGATAAAGGCATTTATATATAACATCTACTTGTATTTCAAGCTTGGAAACCTTGTTTGGTAAACTAAGAACTACAGAACTAATTTTAAATTCTTTATCTTATCTTTTTATGGAGCTTTCACAAGTACTTGGAAGCAGTGTTCTCTACTGACACTGATGCTGCCATGTCAGGACACTGGTGTCACCAGTAATTTGAACAGATCAGTTCTCCATGGCTATCTGAATTTGGAAGTTAATATCCTCCTTCTTCCTTGCTGGTAGTCTTCCACACCACTTTTAACTCTAGATTTCTTTTATTTTGTTATTCACTGAAAACCTAAAACTTCTCTGCAGTGTATACTGCTTCTCTGAGATTTTCTCTTTTAGGTCTTGAATTTTTGCTCAGCTCACACAGCTTTTCCTTCCTCCATTTCCACATTCACATGAAAAGGACCTTCCTTTCTGATAGTCCTCCCATGTTTCCCTCTCTGACATGGCAGGGTAATCGCTCAGGAAGACTCTGCAGTTAGACAAGTGTAAAAACTAAGATCAGAGTCTTAGCTAGTTACTGGTGAATCTTCATGTTAATTGTTCCAGAATATCATGTCTTTGCCTTCTCACAAGATCGCAGCAGCTTTGTGAGAAGCCTGTATCAAAATCCTTCTCCTGGTGGAAAGAATCTTAATGCATGTGGTACATGATCTCAAGCAGACCTGTGCTTTCTACCACTTCGAAGAGCATTGGATGATAAAAAACATTTCAATAGCATTGTATCTGAGTATGGTTTTTCAAGTTGTATTGTCCTAAAAGTCTGTTCCTGTATCTTTGAGTGGGAGAGCATTTATCATGGAAGAGTCATCAACATAACCATTCTGATCCATTAATGAATGATTACAAGTTCTGAAATATCTCCCTTCCTTGACTGAAGTATACTGGCCATTCCTTGTCATCTTGATGGTGTCAGTGATATTAAGTGAGGAGGAAAAAAAAATCCATAACATCTTCAGAGGATCTATGAGGAAAAAGATTATTTTCTCTGGGTCATTGAATCTTCTAATTACAAATTTAGCAGAATACAGTAAAGTGAGTTGCTTTGAAATGTGTTTAACTTCCCCCAAAACCCCTGTGGAGGCTAAATTGGCAACTGCATCTTTGTTGCTATATAGAATGTACACTATCAGACTGTCTTAAGAAGAATTTCTAGTCTGTATCTCTGTTCATGAATATAATAACCAAGAATATCTAAATTACTGAAGTCAATACAAGTTTTGACAAAGCTCCCTTGATGTACAGGAGTGTATAAATCTTCTACAAATCAATCTGCTTCTGTACACTCTGTCAATTTTTGCCTTCTCTTCTGTGCATGGATTGTTCTATAAAAAACTCTGTTTTCCTTTTATACTATAGAATCAATTACCTTAAAAAAAATCATTCAATGAGAGATCGTGATTCAAGACACAACAGAACCCTTAAAAAAAGACATAATTTTGAAAATTTTCTTCCTATTTAGTATATTCTTAATAATACTGACAGGAGTTGTGGATGAAAATCCATTTTTTTGATAAATTTTAATCCAAGGGAGAATATAAACAGGAAAAAAGAAAAATGTTTATATGAGAAATCTTGTAATGCAATGGGTTAGGTTTAATCTAGGTAAATAGATGAACAGTTTATTTACCTTTAATGCATTGCTGTATTTACAGCATAAAAAGGTTTTTTTGATAAATATTGGCCTTATATCTCCATGAGTCTCTACTGAAGACAATAAAACCTTTGAAATAATATGAACAGCGTTGCAAAGGGAACTATTTAATGATTTAAGTTAGACATTTAAGCAGTAAATTCTAATGATTTAGCAATGATGAAAAAACCCCTAAATCTTCACTGTTTCAGAAAGTCCTCGACATTTTCCCTAATGACATGAGGCTCTTCTGTACTTCTTATATTCTATCATAAAATACAAAAAGTTAAACAGACTGAAAAAAAAGCATAGTAGTGTAAGAAAAAATGTGCATAAAGATATGTATATTTTGATTAGACATATTATTAATTTTTTCAACCTTTATAATAATACAATTTAAAATGTTAGAGTATGCATTTGAAAATAAATATTCCCCAAAGTTTACCCAATAAAACACAAACAAATACCTCGAATGATTTATTTAACTTTTCATAGTGCTTTTTAAATGTAATAAGAAAACCATAGTCTTTTGCGTATGTTGCACCTGCAAATGGAGAACACTTACTGGAATTAAGTTAATCAGGAAGAACTCTGATGTTTCTTTGGAAAGAAACATGAAACTCTTACAAAAGTCCTGCACAACCTCATCATCCCATTTTTAAGTCTCAGACACCCTTGCCCAAAAGCACACTGCATAAAGAGCATCAGCAAAACTCTTCCCAGCTCTGGTAACAGAATTGAGCCTGACATTGATTCCTGTTGTCCAGCAGGAATTTCAGTCACAGGGAGGGAGAAGGCTAGCCAAACTACCTTAGCTTTGTTGGTTTGGCTCTCACTAGTAATGGTTGTACCATAAAACAGCAGTGCTCCTCTGGGAATTTAAGTAATCATCATAATCATATTTGCATCATATTTACCATTGACCATTGTCTAGTAGAGTTTCTTTTGCTGATCTTGTTATAGAAGTTGTTCTGTCATCTTTTTTGACTTGCCATGCCTACACTGGCATCATCTCTCTTGTGGTTTTATTCCTCTGCTCCACACTGTGCTGTTTAGTGAGGGCAACATATAGGCCATGCTGTTAACAAAGAGTTCTGGTGCTTAATGCAACAGAGCCATGAAAAAGAAGTCTGTAATCACTACAGGAAGAAATAAGAAACATTTATGTAGGTCACATGAAAGCATTAGGAATTTCAAGTATGATATTTCTATTGCATAGATTCTGCAGACCTCAAAATTATCTCCACAAGCAATCTTCACAGCTGCCAAACAGTGTTTCAGACTGGGATTTGAAAACAGTGAAGAAGTTTCAAAGCAAGCAGAGTCGAGCTGGAGAGATTGCCTAGGCCTTCAGGGTGTGCTATATCTCCAGTGATCTGTGTGCCCCAAGAGTCTTTCACTTGCCCAATATGAAAAGAAATTCTATTTCCTTACTCTGCAGAAAAAAAAATAAAAAATAAAACGTAGAGTAATTTAAACAGAGCTCTGCAAATAAATGCACTTCATTTTGGCCTAAACACCCACCTGTAAATTAGAGAGAGCACATTTGTGCATATGTGCGAGCACTTGTTTGTTTTTGCGTGTGATCAGAAGCAATTGTAAGAACTTTAGGAACTTTGGAATAATACTATAGGTTTCTTGATCTTTCTTGGCCTTTCAGTAGTTTGACTGAATCAAGAGTCAATTTTTGGTTGAAATTTAGATTTAATCTTAAAGGTATGAGTTTCCATGACATCATAAACTAAACAGAAATACCTCCTTTCATTGTTTATTCATTTCTCCAAAAGCTTTGTAACTCTTAGGGGATCCTATTTTGTGAATGGGTGTTAAATTGTTTAGAGCCAAAAGTGCAACTGACCAGTCATTGTTAGTCTCTACCCTAAGCAACAGGCCAAGGGAAAAGAAAAGAAATATCATCTAAAACTGAAATGTAATGAGTTATTCTAATATTTAAAAGGGTATCCAACTCACACTGAAATCAACAACAAAACTTTTTTTGAGTCCAGCAGAGAAAGGATTGCAGTCACCAAGTAAAACAAAGAGGAACTTTAATCCCTTCAAAATTAATAAGGAAAAAAAAATTAAAAGGCAGCTTGTGTTTTGCTTGAATGGTCCTTTAAAATTATGCCAATGACAGCTTAAGGTGTACAGAGCTGCTTGGACAAAAATGAAACGTAGTCTTATCCTGAATGAAGTCACTGTGTTCAGTCTGAATTACGGTTTCTCAGGAAAAGATGAATTAATGTTTGTTTTGTTCTGTTTTGTATGTCAGTGAGTATACATGTGTCTCTGCTGATCATGAGCTCTGCCAGGACTGGAATCTGTAGGCAAGAAAAGCTGTTGTAGCATTTCACAGTCAGGCAATAAATATCCCAAGTCTCTCACAGGAGCTTTCCTCCTGAGGTTTCCTCACAAGAGGGTTTTAGATAAATGCACATAAGCCTCATATAAGGATCTGAACTTTAGAAAGCTAATGTGAACCCCAACATCTCCAAACTTCTGGCATTCAGTCCCACTAGTATTTGCTACATGCATGCCTCTCCAGCAGAAGGAATCTGTGGCTAAATTTTGCTTCCCTGCTTACCTCAGTTTCTCTGACACGTTGGGATGAGCTGATAGTTCCTTCCAGAATGAGACTTTCCATAAGAACATGGACCATCTGGAGCAGCATGGTAAAGAAGCTCTAAGTGCACCTTCTTCTTCCAGCTCCTGTGCAGCATTCCTGTGACACTATGTCCCGTAACTCATGTGCATCTCTAAATTTAGATTCCACTCAGCGCTGGCAGAGTAGCACACTGGTCTTACCAAGCCTGATTTCAAGTGCCACGTTCTTAGCGTGCTTCTGTTATCTCCCTTCCCACCATTGTCCAAGAATTAGCTGCTCTCCTATGAGAATAACACAAAGACAAGGTACTGTCAAGATGGGTGGAGAAAATTCAGATTGAAACACCCCTTTCTTGGTCTTTGTTGAATCTTACTTGGATTTCTACTGGCCTTGGTCCTTCATCCCTTATTAAAAATAAATAATTCCATCTCAGAGGTTACTTTGCTGCAAGGTCTGTTCTGTTCAATCCAGTCACTTTGCAAGAAAATTATTCTATGCTGCTTCTTTTTATTTTTCACCCAGGAATAAGTTTTTACCTGAATGTCTCATTCAGTAGTACATCACTGCTTTAATACACAATACTCAAGTTCACTGGACTCCTTCTTATGCTACACAAAGCTCAACTTCTGCATAGAGTATACAGAAAAAAACTTGACTAAATGAAAAGTCCATTGCTGGCCTAGCTGGCTGATTGTGTCAAGTACTCTTCCAGATGCATATATCCTTATTTCATTCTTGTAAATGCATTGCAGGCTTTTGAAAGTGAGATATTTTTGTACTCGTATGTTCTATACTGTCCATGAAGTGTGACTCAGGACTAATGTTACTGGTGAAAAAATCCTGTTAACTAAGGAACAGTAGCAATAACAATAGAGTTTTTCAATTGTTAATTGCACTTGAATTTCATATTGTGGTGAATGCCAAATCCTCCAAAGCACATTGTGTTTCCTTGTGTAACCCCTAATTTGTGCATATGAGGATCCCTCTTTATGCAGTTGGCCCTTTGTACTTCTGTAACTGTTCTGTGCTAAAAAAGTAAATGCTTTCAATTAAAAGATGGGGTTCATATTTTACAGCACAAAAGACCAACCTAAATTCCTATTTAATTATTTGCTCTTCATCTTAATTTAGCTGTGTACATGTCTGCATAGAGCCCACTACATTTACTGCTTCAGAAATTACAAGTTTTGCTGGTGTTAAATATACACTTAATATACAACATTCTAAATGTGAGCTGTTCAAATTGGAAGGAAATATATTTATTCAAGAAATGGGATTACTTCCTTAAGTCAGAAATTGCTCTTTCCATAATATCCATTTACCATGTCTCTTATTTACAGAAATTTCTCTCAGTGGCAGCTGTGAGGGGGACCAGTGGGGCTAGATGCAGCTGAGATGTGAATGGAAGCTCAGTGACTGTTTTCCTCAGACTTGAGCAAGAGTGGTTATCTTGCATTAGGCAAAATAGGGGGCCCAGTCCTTTAATATTGCCATGTAATCATCCCCTAGAAACTTCATAACAAATATAGACCTCTCAAAGTTGCCTGGATGCTGAATAATACAACTTGAGAGCTTGATGGAAGAAAATTATGTCAGTGGGTTTAATCATTGGTAGAATGATTTGGCGATGAAGATTCTGCAGCCATGGATGTCATAATCTTGGCTTGGTTTATTGGCAGTAGACATTCCTGCCACTTCTTGTATATCTTCTGTACAAAGTTCCACATCTCAAAGCTCAATGCCTCAGCTTGTGGTTTTCAAGATGTATATGGCTCCGAAACTTGCTGTGCAAATTAAGGCAGATTTCATGTGGTTTTTTCTGGGCCCCAGAGGCATGCAAAATGCTACGAGTTCAAAGGCAGAAATGGTCTTGGATTAAAGAGAATCTTGTTGTAAGGACCTTGGGCTTACAAGTTATTCTCATGCATCACCTAGCACCAGAAATTTGAGAAACCAAAAAAATCAATCTAACTTGCCAGAACTGAGGCACTCAGAAAAAAAATGGACATTACAGAAGTCCAAGCAGCACTTCAACATCTAATTGCTATTGATAAAGCCTCATGGAAGGAAGACAGGAGTAATCTCTTCTCTGCCAGTAAATGACACACACTTAGTATGTTTAACAGTTTGATTAATTCAGGCAGACTATGCAAGTAATTAAACCACATTTTAGAAATTAGAGGAGATTACAGGTGGAAATAACCCCCTGAAGAGTCATAGGTGGCACAGGAAAGTGGAGCTTTGGAAGAGCTTTTGTGAAATCTGAAGGTGAAGAGACTTCCATTTCAACCAGAGAGGCACAATCCCTAGCACAAGTCTCTGGAGAAGTGTGTCAGGGAGAGAGAGAGAGATAGGCAATAACAAGAATATTAAAGTATTCAAGAATATGAAGTTCCAAATAAGTTAGTGTAGGATGATCACTACTCTGATGCTCTACACATACCTAAGAAACCTCAGAACACAGAGGAATTTGTAGCTTCAAGTGTAATGTAGTGCTCAGATTTTCAGGAGGAAGAATTAAGCACATAAAACTTAGGGAAACATTCTGCAAAATGTATGTGAGAATTTTCTGAAGACAATAGCGAGAGAAAGGCATTGAACAAATCTGTTTAAAACAAGAAAGAAGTGGCAAACATCTATATTATGCTTGATGTTAAAAGCAATCGTCAGAAAATCAGCAGAAGTATCATTTGAGGAGACCCTGAATATTGACAAATGCATTGCCTCCACAATAGGCAAAATAACTTTATTCATGAAGTCATCATAGAAACACTGTGGAATTCAGGTACTCTATAAACACAGCAGTTTTTCAATTTTTCAAAATTCAAACACACAGATATCTTTTAGTTTAGATAAAATGTTCTACAATTTTTAATTTCTTTCTCCTGTGTGTATTTTTCCATGCAGAAGAAAAGTCTGTTGTGGTACCTAGAGAAGTGAAAAGTAAGTTGCTTTTTGTTTTGGTTTGGTTTGCTTTTCTCCCTTTATCTTCATGTTAGTTTTCTGCAAGGGACAGGAATATATTTGTTTCTTGGATTTAAAAATATTCCTATTCCTTAAATAGTTTCAATTAAAGAAAAGTCTCTTGCCTAAAGTCTTACGGTTCTATCTTTTGTAAGATAATAAATCTTGGTTTCTTATTCACATTTGTAATAATAAAAGATCACAAAAAGAAAAATATAGTTTTACTAACTATATTTGGGTATCAATACCTGAAGCATGCAGCACAAACTGAAGGTAACAAATTCGTCTTTTCATGGATGGACAATTAAAAAAGCACTGAGATTAGCTATTCTTATACTCTTAAATTCTTTCCCATCAAAAAGGGGATTCATTTCCCAAAGGAAAAATAAGAATTATAACTTTCTCATATCCTTTACCAAACCCTCAACTTTATAATTCAAAACATTCATGAAATAAGTAATTAAATTGTTTAAGCTTGTTTAAAAAAAATTCTCCTTTTATCTATAATTGCCCTAATAACTGCCAAAATTGAGGTAGATTCTTCTGAAATAATGTCATGTTGTTTTTTAGATGGTGCTTTAACAACAATTCTCCATGAATAAGAGAAGTCCTGTAATGACAGTTTCAAAGATTCAATTAGTAAAAAAAGTGTAATAAAGGTATATTGTATATGCAGGCTTTTCATGGCATTCTACCCTTGCTCCCAAGTACCATGTGCAAGTTTTGCTGTCATTTCAGTCAGGTCTTACAAAAGAAGCACAGCAAGTGAATGGCTCTTGAGTCACCACAAAAAACTCTTAGTTACACCAGGTTAATGGGCATAGCTTCTTGAATTAATGTTTAAGTAATAATCTGGTGTGCATATTTGTTCCAGTTTTATCCTTAGCACCCATACACTCTCTGGGTATTAAGCTGTATTTCTGAGCTGCTGACAGTAAGTGACCAACTTGTCAAATCTTGAACATATTGCAGTTAGTGCATGCCCCATCCCAAATACATTTATACATACATGCATATATACATGGTTGTTTGTGTGTTTCTGTGTAAAAGTAGCCAGCTGAACTTCAATTTCTATTTTTAGAGAGAAAAGAGGAGAAGAAAAAGAGTGATGAAAAGAAGACTATGACTGAAACTAAGGTGAAAGGTATGGTTTGGAAACATTTCTTACTGGCCTCATTCAGCTTTTACTCACACTTCTGGCTCATTTCCCATTGTTTTCTTTAGGTTAATCCTATCCTACAGGCTGCATTGTACTTCTCTTAGTTGCTCAGTCATTATTTGCATGTTTCCACTTCTGTATCTAATGTCTAATGTGTCCAATATGTTCAGCATCCAATATTACCTAAACTTATTTTCTGACAAATGAAATGTCCTGTTTGGTGGCCATCAGTAGGGTTTTTAAACATTTTAATGGAGTCCGTATTTAACAGGACATAGTTATACTACAGTATACAAAATTCAGGGAAGACATCACTCAATTGATTGTACATCAGTTTCTGAAGGGTGGTAGATCTGCTTATTTTATACAATCACAATTGAGACTTACAGTGACCAAGCTGCAAAGTTATGATATCCATCTAAATAATGTTCTGATCATGCATTCTCAGAAAGAATCTAAAGTCCACTAAGGTGTTGCTTCATGCAAAGCATTTAAGTAATTCATTATTTTTTAATAATCTCATTGCTACTGGAACTTAAGCTAGAAGCTGCCACATTCATGCACTGATGATTTTTGCCTAACTTTTGATGAATTATTAAGGGTCCAAATCATCCATAGTTGATGCATACTGATTAATTTTCATTCTCAGGTGATTGCTCTGTGGCTAGTTGGGTGCGAGTGCTAGAAGGGAATAATCTGAACTCTCAAATAAGTCATATTTTTTTCAGTATGTGCCCACCAGGACTTGGTTGACTGCATATTTGAGTGTATGATTCAGAGTTCTAGCACATCAAATTACTCTCTTTAATTAAATCTTAGAAAAAACAGGAAAAAAGGAGAAAGCTCATGAGAAGACATCTGTCCCTGAAATTAAAAAAGCAGGTAAGAAATTGAACTCTGACTTTCTCTCCAATGATATCTCACTATTTAGTGTAATCACTTTCAAGTTTTAAGGATTTGAGATCAGGGTGTATGTAGCTCATTATCATTCAAGAATCCAAGTGGAGAGAGAGATAGATGGATAGATAGACAGACAAATATCACAGTGTGTATATTATATTATATTATACTATATTGTTATAGATATCTGTATGTATGATACATGCAATTTCCTGTTCTATGATCTTGAGACTTTTACAAATATAATTTGTAAATATAAATGCATTTACAAATCAATTACAAACACTGCTTTCACTAATACACTACATTTATCAAGAGTATAACTAATTTCATAAGCTACATGGCAAAGACTGAATGGAGAGTATATATTTTTCCATGAACTATTTTAAAAATACAGATTTTTTTAAGTCATAAATGGAAATATTACCATATAAAAATAGGTGGTTATTTTCTGAATTTTTACTCATGCCCAGAAAGGAATTTTTTAAAAGTTTAAATTAGTGAATATCCTAAACCTAATTGATTGTTTGATGCATAGAAATATAAATATTTCAATAAGATTAGAAATTAGCACTTTGGGTCTTGTCTATATTAAAAATGCTGTATTTTTCTTCCCCCTTATTTCAGTAAATCTGCAGGTATATTTAATGTGGAAATGCAAAAGTGTCTCAGTAAATGGCACAGCCTGCAAAACTGTCTCATTAAAATCAAGGAGAAACAAAATGTTCAGTGGTTGGTCACTATTTTAATACCTAGAAACACTGATTCCAATTGATGCTTTATCTGTCACTTTCCATGTAACATTCTACAAGCCCTCAAGTACTCAGAGCCCTCAAGTACTCAGATTAACCTTTCTGTAGATTAATGCGATGCCTAAAGCCACCAAGAAAGGTTCAAAGTAGGATGTAAATATTCAGGGCTATATTTACTATGTCCTCAAGGCAAACCTTGCATTCTGTTTTCTAATTATTTAAATCTGTTGAATGTTATCAAAAGTTGAAAGTACCTATATCCCATTGTTTACTAATATTGTGATTTACATATGCAAATTTCAATAAGCAACTGGTTTCTTTCCCACTGAATCATATGTGGACTGCGTAAGTTTTCTTATTCAAATGATTATGGATGGGAAGAAATAAGTAATTTATGTTTGGGAAAACATAAAAATGCACAGATTACCTGGGACAACTATCTTGGTAGCCCCATATTTAAATATGTCTTTTATAGTAGGGAGTTGTACACACTGGGGAAGGGATAGGGATGAAAGAGAATATTCTTTTACTAGTTAAGTTACATATTTTAATGTAAAAACACAGGTTTAAAAAGAACATAAGCTAACAATTCAAAAATCTTTTGTAATTTTATTCTGGTCCTAAGCTTGTATTTCACTTGAGAATACAGAATTGTAAAAGATTACATTTTATGGCAGAGCTGCAGCATGAAGTCATTAATATGTTCATCTTCACAAGCAGTTGCTAAATCCAGTGAGTCATCCTTTGTAGCCTAATGCTAGGAAGACACAAATTAGACAAACCAAGATATCTGCACATTTCTGTCCCTTTTATTAGCTCTGTAAGTTGCTGCATTTTTGGAGTTTACTAGCCTTTGTGTAAGAGGATGGTAATTCATAATGTATTCTAGCTGCACGTGTTGCCGTCATTCCTCTTTCAGCTTGTTCTTTGAATGCATATGGACTTTCTACCTTTGGCAGCACCCATTGTTATCCCTAATATGTTTTAAGCCTGAAATAATTGCCATATTTGATCAACAGAATAGTAGTGCATAGCCCAGTTTTGAAATGAGGCACCTCGATGTCTTTACATAATTTGGGCATAGAAAATCAACCTCAGAACATTTGAATCAGCAGAATACATAAACATCCAAAAGCAAAAAACACCTTCCAGTTTTCTTACCTTTTCCCTTTTAAAGGGCTAGGCAGAGGCCATTGCATTGAGCACAAACTCCTCACCCTGGTTTTCAAACTCTTGCATTGCCTCTGAATGTCTCTGGTTTGTGTCTCATTTTGGGTCCCCTGACCTTTGCAATCCATGAAGCCGAGGGGTTTCCAGGGCAAGCTGCCTTCTCACTGCCACCCACACTCATCCCCACACCAGTGGGCAGCTCCTTGCGCTCCGAGGTCCTCCTGGCACCCAAGTCCCACTGCTGCTCCACACCCTTGCGCACTTTCTCCCAGAAGACTCATGTCTGGCTGGAGGCCCATCAACCAGGCATTCCCTATGGAGGAATGGTGGCATGGACAGGATGTCAGGCTCAAGAGAGAGAGAGAAGAAGAGGTGCTCTGAAAGCACTAAGTGATAAAAGCATCTCTAAAATAATGTTCTGAGAGAAGCACTTCTCTATATTCCTCCACATCTCTCTTGGTCTAACAAGGAATGCTTGTAATTGCAAATACTGAATATATTTTCAGATTAATATTTTAGATTGGTCCTTTGGTCCAAGAGACAATTTTATCTCTACTGCTACCGGAACGGAGGTTTTTTTATTGCACTTCATTAACTGCATCCCTGTGATATATTTATTTGCATGCCAGCTCACTCTTTCTCCAAATCTCTCCTCCTCTATTTCTCTCTCTCTCTCTCTCCCCCCCGCCCCTCTCTGCTGCTGCAGAGGATCAAGAGTCATCTAATATGAAATGTCCTCAATCTTTAGTACAGAGCAAACTAGACGATTCTTAATTAGCTTTTAAAAATGCTTTATAGATAAAACCACATTAATCCTCTGACCTTCAGCTCATACAAAAGCATTGTGTTAATTGTCCTGAAAAATAGATAATTCCATTGTTACAAACTCAGAGGTCTAATTTAAACAAACATAATCATCAGAAACAAGGGTCTGGCACAGTCAGACTCCAAAACCTTTTACAAAAATCTATCCAGTGCTACTCTGGATAGAGGAGGAGCTGCATCTCCAAATCCACTTTAAGGGGCTTGCTACCCCTCAGCAGATATAAACCTTTGCCAGGCTCTCCCAAAGTTTGTTCTGGTGCTTGGGACACATCAGCCCAGGGGGCTCCGGTCTTCAATCTGACTGAGTAAAGGGACCCTCTATGTCAAAGCTTGGTGTCCAATCCTACATGAAAATGAATATACAGAGTCTGGTACTTTCAGGCACTAATAGTTTACTTGCAGATTTTTTTCCTGATGGTCCTTTTCCCAGAGTCTGAAGCTTCCCTTCTACTTCTTGAATCAACTTTCCTAGAAATTGTATTCACACCAGCCTTTGTCTTTGTTGCAAACTCCTTTCCCACTTTATTTTAGTTCTCAAAACAAATCACATATGTAAAATGAGTTTATAAAGCAATAACGGTGGCCTGGATCATCACATCATTTCCTACCTAAAATTCTGCTTCAACTGTCATTAATGATCTTCCTGTTATTCTTGCCATTTTGATAACAGATCTTGTAACTAACTGCTTTAGGAAGATAGTCAGTGCCATTTTCTCCACTTTCCATATGGTGAAATTCAGGTACAGAATGCAATCCAGGCCAGTTATCCACATATTTAACTTCTGTTTATACATATCTTCTGAAAGATAAACCAGTGCTAGATGGATTAAAGAGCCCAAATTTTTGTAAACTTTTACAATTTCCCTTGTGATAACCCAGAGACATCAGACAATGCAACTGATGTCTAGGAAGAAAATTATTTTGCTAAAATCATAAAGCCTCATCAGCAGGACTACTGTTCAAGAATCCCTTGGTTCTGACCTCAGGGACATATATTTTAAGACCACCACACTTAAATATCACCCTGAGCAGTTCTGGTGTGCAGATCTACTTGTCCCAGATCAGAGAGCATGATCTGACTTCCATTTTGTTGTGTTGATTGTATTCATGGTCTCCACAGAGCATAGAAGCCTCTACAAAGGAGCACTGGAATCACTCCATAAATAAAGGAATTATCTTGCAGCAGTTGCACCCATATTTTTTGGATGCATCTCCCACACAATCACAGAATTATATAGGTTGGGAAGGACCTTTAAGATTATTGAGTCCGACTACTAATATAGCACTGCCAAGTCTAAGCACTAAACTGTATCCCTACACATTTGAAAATCCTTTAAATTCCTTCAGAGCTGGCCACTCAACCATTTCCCTGGGCAGCTAGCTCCAGGGCTTGACCACCCTTTTGGTGAAGAAATTTTTCACA